TATATAATACTAACTATGTGCCCAGCTGGACCAATGTACGTATATATCAATATATACGTATAATGATCCCCATGGCCCTGCCACAGCTACTAAAGTGTATTACAGCTTCTTCCAGTCCCTGCTACAGCTGCTATGCCGAGTGACTTAGGGGTTTAAGTAATGGGAGAAATAAATGATGCTGCCAGGCTGAAATAGAAGTCTAGCCATTTCTTAAAATAAATCAGAAGAGGTTACAACCTGCAAGTTTAAACTGTTGTCTGTGCCCACATTCAAAGAATTTCCCTTTACTTCTGGTGTGGTCCACAAAAGGAATATAAGCAGACAAAAAACTCTTCTTGGCCAATAGTAAGAGTCATTAAAGTGGACCTTTTCCCCCTTTGACTAAACATCACATCAACATTCAGCGCTGCATGATAGTAAGAAATCATCCTAAATTAATTAGCTAAACAAGCATATTTCTATTTTACTTACAATTTCTCCACGTTCCAATTTTTTTTCCACTTCCTGGTTCACTTTGACACAAATATTGTAATCTTGCCCAGACATTGCACCCTGGAAAGGTTATATCAGCAGAGCATTGCTGGGAAGTAAGGGGAGATCAAGTAACCTGCCTTTAGTTAAAATGGCCACTGTCAGAAGAATGGGAAAGAAAATAAAAATAAGGTATGCACAAAATAAAAAGTCTGCAATTATCTAGAAGTATCTATAGACTGTCATTACTTAACATTTGTAAAGGTGCCTTTGTTGTTAATTTGAAGCTATGGGTAGAGTTCCTCTTTACCATGTCAGGTTTTATTTGTTGTCGGTGTCCCTGCTAGAGAGATTTTTTTCAGCTGCTGTCCCAATGCCAAGTGTGATCTAGGACAAGAGAAAATGTCCTCAACAGGTGAGAGAAAATGTCCTCAACAGGAAACTACAGCAATTAAAACCTAAAAAAGGTTCAAAACCTTTTCTACTCTACTAAAAAATAAACTAATTTTGCCTACACTTCCGGTTTAAGATTAGTGGTCAGGAGAGTGTGGAGAAACATTACATTTTCTATTTATTTTAGGCAGCGAAAGCCCTGTGTCCAGAATTACCAGTGCAGATGTGATGATTTCCCTCGGGGCCGGGCCGCCTCGGTCCTGCTGACTTGCATGTCGGGTGCTCCGCGTTCCACTGTGGAACGCAGATGCCGCTCAACTTCCTGGTTGTGACGCGAGCGGCGTGCGTTCCACGGTGGAACGCGGAAGTCACGCGTTTCGGCCAGCGTCTCCTCCCACATCCTGGGGCTATTTAAAGCTCCAGCTATAGCAGCATGGCGTTCAACAATTGCCTCTGAACGCCTGCTGACAATTGAACCCTGCAAACCGGACACTGTCTCCTCACTCTTCACGGATCATCCGCCAGTGGGACCCACACCCTGCACCTCGCTGCTCTGCCACCCCTCAAACAGCAAGTGTCGCTTCACTGGGAGCCTGTTACAAACTGTCAGCTACTTTGATCCAATCACTGCTGTGCTACTGATATCGCTGATACCATTGTGGGGAGATTCTAGAGTTGTTCAGGAGATCTGTCTAACCATACTGCTTCACCAAGAAGATAACAAACCGTTTAACCCTATATTATACCTGTGCTGGGGCTATGAGGAAATAGCCCATCTATTATTTCATGTTTTAACATTGGCTATGATGCAAGAGTCTCAAACTCCCCCTTAATACTGGGAGTGACGCCTGAGACTCACGCCTTAGAAGCCAATAATTCCATACACGCCATCGCGCTCTCTCCGCAGTTGCGCTCCAGTGCGACCCATTACAGTAGACGTTACAGCAGATCACCAACATACTGTGGAATAGCTGCTGAAAAAAATGATAGATGTTACTCATTTGACATTTTGTCATAAAGACGAATGGCTCTAGTGACAGCTGCATTTCAGTTCAAGAAATGTTAAACTGCAGCAAATGAACATCATTGATTGTTGTATCAACTATGCCATTTAAGATGGGAGATAAAATTATGGTAGTGGTGTAAATTTTTCTTCACATCAAAGACATTTATATTTTCCCATGTGTGAATATTGAATTCAATTCACATAAGACAGTATAAATGCCAGGCCCATTAAAATATTTGTATCCGCACTGTGTGAATATCATTAATTATATAGTTACATAAGCATATTTTAATTTTTTTTCTAAATTTTTTATGTTTTACTCGAAAGAATTCTGAACTTGAGAATTATACTGGTTGTCCTTGTGAATCTCCAAAATAAGACTGGTGCATCTCAGAGAGCTAAGACAGGTCTAAATGTGGTGAATCCACTTTCAGGTTAACTGCAGAGAATGAATTTAGAAACTTTGCCATGCATGTAATTTTTAACATTACGAAATTAATACCTGTCATTCTAAACCCTATTTTGATCTTTCAACAGGAGAAGCCTACATGAGGTTGAACAAGGTGTCTGAAGCTGAGCACTGGTACATGGAGTCTCTGAGATCAAAGAATGATCACATCCCAGCACATCTTACTTATGGCAAGCTACTGACCCTGACGGTGAGAAAAGACAACTTAATACCCAAATAGTTTGCTGCATGCGACTGTTCCTGATCAATTTTCACTTAAGCTTCATGTCAAAACACTTATTTTTATGTTACGGGAGCTGTAATTTGTTAATGATTGACAGTTTAGAGCAGCATACACTACCAGTCAAACGTTTTAGAACACCCACATGTTTCCAGTTTTTATTGAAATGTAAGCAGTTCAAGTCCAGTGAATAACCTGAAATGGTGCAAAGGTAAGTGGTAAACTGCCAGAGGTGGAAAAAAAGCAGAAGTTTAGGTTAACAAAAACTGAAAAATAATGTACATTTCACAGTTATACAAAAAGGCCTTTTTCAGGGAAGAAGTAAAGGGTTAACAATGGCTCTAGTGACAGCAATGTAAGTAAATTAAGCCTTGTAAGTTTATGCTAACAATTCCTACTGGTGCCCCAACTTTTGTTGATTGATTACTCAGAAGCCCTCTGTATAAAAGCAGTGTTGAAACAGACTGTGTTACAACACCCTCTTAAGCAATATTTGGACACTATTGTACTACAGGAAGTAGTATATTGCTCTCAAAATGGCAAGAAAAAGGTAGTTAACAAAGGAAGACAGACAGGCCATTATAACCCTTAAAAATGTAGGTCTTTCCTTTAGAGAAATAGCAAGGAAAGCCAAGGTGTCAGTGACAAGTTTCCTACACCATCAAAAGGCACTTGGAAACTGGAGGAAACTCTGACAGGAAGAGGTCTGGCAGACCCAAAGCCACAGCAGAATCAGAAGACAGATTTCTGATAGTCAACAGCTTGCGTGACAACAGCTTCAAGCACAGCTTAACACTGATCAAAGTAAGTAAGTCTCAGTTTCAACTGTGAAGAGAAGGCTTCAAGCTGCAGGTTTGACTGCGAGGTTGACAGGTCAAGTGGCAGTAAGAAAGCCACTGCTAAGTGGGCAAAAAAAAGACCAAAAGCACTGCCAGTGGACTACTGAAAACTAGAAGAAGGTTTTATAGTCCAGTTAATCAACATTTGAGATCTTCTGTTCATCACGCAGGGTTTGTGTACGCCGTCAAATAGGATGGTACCTCGGTGTATGACACCAGCTGTCAGACATGGAGGAGGAAGCGTGATGGTCTGGGGCTCTTTTGCTGGATTCAGAGCCAGAGACTTGTACTGAGTGAGTGGCACCCTGAACAAAAACTACCAACACAGCATTTTGCAGTGCCATCCAAGACTTAAACCCCACGGAGCTGGTTTGTGATCAACTGGAAAGAAGGGTGAAAGCAAAGCAACCTTCAACTGCAGCACATTTGTGGGAATTTCTGCAACGGTGTTGGGAAGAATTTTCTGAACAGTATATGATTTTTGTTGTAGAAAGTTAGTGTTATAGCTGCAACATGTCTCTACTTTGATGAGTCAAAAATTTTGATTTTGGTAAATAAAATTATTCCATGATTTTTTTTTGGATGTCCAATTGTTTATTTGTTCTATGTTTTATTTTTAGAATACATTGAGATAATAAACTGCGTACATTTCAATAAAAACTCTGGTGGTCTAAAACTATAGCCCGGCAGTGTATATGCTAGCCATGTAGGTATTTTTTCCCAGAGGTGAGAGTTCAAGCATACCTAAACTGATATGGTCAAATTACATTTTGTCAGTATTTACCATTTATTGTGTAACCTGAAGGTATTGTAAGGCTAGTCTACTTTTGTGCTGCACAATGCTGAATTCAGCATTTCATTGGTGCCAGTCATATGACCAGTGCCAAAGCATTAGTCCTATGTTCTCTGCCAAAGAGTAGGATCACTGTGCAGAGCCCACCAGAGATCACATGACCAGGCATTGACAGGGGGCTGACTTTCGCATTTCTACAAACTAAGGTTAACATTTCCAGTCAAAAGTAATTTATTTTAAATTATGTAATTCAGGCGAATACATTTTATCTTTTAAAAACAAACAAAAGAACGTAAGATAAACAGATGGTATATTACATTTAACTGTCAGTTTCAAAAAAATGCCTTCGGCTTCTTCTACATTTTGAATATTCAAGTAAATAAAGCAGCAGATTAAATAGTCTTAAAGCAATATATAACGTGAGCAAAACATATACAATTGATATGGTATTTAGTGGCTCAGTAAGTACAATGGCTTGACAAAATCCAGATATAAGTGTTTTTGTTGCTGTGTGGGTTTTCTCTACTTTCCCTTAACGGAATATAGATATTGAGGTTAAGCTATATTAAATGGCTTGAAAGCACTTATCTGAACACGCTTATCTGCACTCTTGTCAGCATGTGACCAAAACATGTGTACGTATACCAGCCCAATCATTTATTTCTTTCATTGCTTTTGTTTAAGATCTCTAATGCAAGATCTTCTGTTTCTGTAGCATGAATAAAGACCCTTAATCAAAAGTGATGGAAGCAGGTGCCGTTCTGTAATGTTAATATTGTTATAATAGAGACACTCTGTCTAGACTTTGGGTTCAAGGCATTCTTTACTAGTGCTGTAAAAAGAGAATTCTCAGAAACCTTTGAAGCTCTGAATTTAAAAATGAATGATGGATTTTTTTTCCCCAAACATTTTTTTATTGCAGTTTTTTTTGTTTGACAAGTTACAAAAAAAGAGAAAACAGAGATACGCCATGTCAAAATGCATTGACATTATTGAAAAAGCAAGGAAATATCCTTACAATGATCATCATTTCTATTGAGAGAGTATACATACATACCATCCTGCAATAAAGCCATGGTGGGCTTTGAGTAGCACCAAAAGAAGAAAAACATAGAAATCCCAAACTTTTATAGTCAGGTTAAGATTACCCAAACAATGAAAATAAAGTACAAGAATATGGCCGATGGTTGTATGCATATATGATTATGCAGTACCCACTCTGTTCTATTTCTAGGGCTCCTAACATGTTTGTCAGTTGTGCCTTGGCATACCATTCTTTGTATTAATATTGGATGCATTAGTTGCCTAATTTCCTCCCTTGCAAAAGATTTTTCTTTGAAGCGCTTCCACTTGCTAACTTTTCGCAGCAAAATAATTGCTTAAGGTCTTGTCTTACATTCTAGATAGATGGATCTCAGGTAAATCCAATTTCTCAATATACAAGTCTAGCCATCAAGAGGCATATATGTAATCATTCTGGCCCTCCCCCTCTGGGTGATTTCCTTTGAGTAAAAGCAGAGGTTGGAGTCTCACAGCTGAAAAGTAGGAGCAAGTGGCCAGTTTTGTTGAAGACAGTTCTCATATAGTGTGTTTCCTAAGTCCAGAAGTTGGCTATTGGTGGACACGACCAAAGACCGTGGGCCAGAGTAGGTCGTGTTTGGTTACATTTCAGGCATAATGATGATAAAGACAAAATAAGGGATGTATACCGTATTAACAATTTTAATGTGCATTTTCACAGTTACAAGTCTAATTTTGTTGTCTCCGTGCAGTAATTTGTCCGTGAGGTAATTATTCAGAAAATCCTTGTTCCAGTCCTTGAAACTTGAGTTTCCCAAAGGCTTATTATAAAAAGTTTTCAGTTGCGGTTAGGTAGTGGAAATATATATCTTGGAGATTATGTTGTCCAAGAAGGTTGTTGTGAAAAAGGCACTTGGGTCATTTGTGGACAAATGCCAGAATTGGTAATTTGAAAAAATATAGGAAATATTGTTGAGGAATTTTTTTGGGACTTGACAAATGTATATAAGATTTGGATTTTAAAGGTGCATGGGTCAAGTACATTTTTCATGTACTGCAGTTCCAGTTCACCCCACAGTGTGAAAGCTGCATAGTCTTTACCTTATGGAAACATGGGATTGCCGAGGGTTGGCCTATGTCTTAAGATGAAAAGTAAGATCTTCCTGAACTTTGTCAGTCAAAAATTGTGTCCCTAAGGACAATGTTAGTATGTAGAACATATGGAAGGATTGACGGTCTGCTGTGGAGAACATCAGTCAGGTTCCATGGAGCAGATGGAGGCAGATTCACAAAGAACGTTGGAATATCTAGACTCCTCTGCTATCCAATCCAATCCAAGGCATGCCTTAAAGAAGAACTGAAGGATTTTTTTCAATTAACCTTAGCAGTGGGGCTACCCCTGCACTGCAAAGGTTAACTGCTCAGTTGTGTCTAGATTAAAAAACAAAGATATACTCCCCCAAAGCTCCGAGCCAGCTTCTTTTTAGTCCGATCCTTCCAACGTTTCTCCCCTTTCTCTGCACCGGTCTAAGGTCTCATAAATCATCAACGTCTATACACAATGTATAGACGTGAGGACGCTGAGGAAGATTCCAGTGCTGCAGAACAGGGGGAGAGAGGCTGGAGGGAGCGCTGTGACAGCTGGCTGGCTCGAAGCTTCTGGTGAGTATATATGTGTTATTTTAGCTCTTAGACACAAACGAGCACTTAATCTTTGCAGTGCGGAGGAACCCCTAGTGCAATGGTTTATAAAACAAATCCTGGAGTTCTTCTTTGATAAACATCACCGTCTTTGACAAAATGTCCAGAATGGCAGCCTGTGATGACACAAACCGACAACAGGACCTTGTAGGCACACTGTTTATAGGCCAAAAAGAAAGCAGCCTTAAAACTAGCGGTGCACTGAAATGAAATTTTTAAAACTGAAACAAAACTGAAAATAAAAAAAGTCAGACCGAAACCAAAAAAATTTTCTAACCTTTTCAAAAAAAAATTTAAATATTTTATCTATTTACTTTTTATAAATGTTTACATTTTTTACAGTTTATTTCTATTAAATATTTTTATTTTTTTACTTTACTGTTAGGGGCTTTGGGGAAATTCCCTTTTAAAATAGAAATAGAGGTTCTTTTTCTGCAGCCCCTCTTATAAGTGAACAGGAATCCTCTGTACTGAGTGTTCCTGTTCATTCATAAAGTGTGTAGATCACTTCCCATTCATTCATAATTGGGGACACAGTAAACCTACTATGTCCTCAATTATTTAAAAGGAGTCAGCTATCACTAATCACTGACTGCTTGTACCCGCTCTCCTTCCTGACTCGCTGTCACAGGTGGCAGAGCGAGCGGTGCTGGGAGGAGAGCTCAGCCTCTTGTGACAGCTGACTCCTCCCCTACAACACTCTCGTGATTTTGTTTTTAGTTCATTAGTGACCTGGCTGGCATATTGCATTTTAGATATAATCCATCAGTCAGTCACATGCTGTGGGTAGGTATGGTGCATGGTCTCCTATTTTAAAAATATATATTTTAAATAAATTAAAAAAACCCTCACTAACAGCAGAAGGCAGGGGTGAGCTCTGGATCCCGGAGCATAATGTCATAAGGCTTTATGACATTGAATTCTTTGCACTAGGAGTACCACAAGTTGAATTACAAATAGGGTAGTTGAGACTCTCAATGCTGCTGAAAAATAGGCCCCCAGATTGTGAGGTCAGTATCCACATGGCTCAAGCACCTAGTTCTCAAAACAGCTCTATAATTGAAGATCTCTGATTGAAAAAGTGAACCATTTAGAAGATCGTATGTGTCCTTGAGGAACTTGCAGAGAGGCCATTTTTTGTTTTTGCAGTGCACTCTTAAGTATTCTTGTTGTAGGTGTTTTTGAATGACAGTATTCAGGTTATTGTAAAGGAAATGGAACTGAGTTGGCTTATCATGTAGTGTTTTTGAACATTACAGAGAGAGAGAGAGAGTCTGTCAGCATGCAGAAAAGAATACTGTACTGTTCTGGATTGACCATTGTGTTATTGAGTGCCCTAAAGTCAGTCTTGTCTTGTAAGACGCTCCCAGAATGTTGGTCACGTGACCAGTCATTGTGTAATGTGTTCTTTAAAGTATAAACTTCTTTTACTTTTTCTTAGTATTTTGCCTTGTTGTTTCATTATTTTTACATTGTTTGTCAGTTTTGGCATTCTTTCCTGTAAAAAAAATAGCCATATGGAATTTAGACACCTGGCTTTTGTTTTTACTGGCAAAACTTTGTAGGAGCTTGATGGCTTAGAAATGTGATTAATAGGATTTCAGGTTACAGGGGCCTGTGTAAGAGTAAAACTGAAATGTATCTGACATTTCATACAGTTTCTGAGAAGTTGTAAAGTGCTTAAATGCATAGAGAATATCCTCGCAATTGTGACTGTTATATAACCTGTTCCATATTCATAGAATGGAAATGGACCAATATAGCCTAGCAATGGTTAAAGCTCAATTCCAAATTGCTCTCAAAGCTGTGTCACTCATTCTTGCCCTCTTTCTTTTCCAGCAACCTTTTTGGTACTGGACTGGACTGTAATTGCAGTGGTCTTTGCTATGAGTTGGCCTGTTTATCAAACCACTAAACAGAGGCACAGGACATCCGTGTTTGGCAGATTTAACAAGTTTATAAGAGATTTTTTGCTATGCACATCAACATTTTCCTTAAGAAAACAGCATTTTTAATTTAAACGTTGAGCTCCCTTAAGCATTTGGTTATTATGGATTATATATAAAATTCAGATTAAATGTAAATAGAACAGCTTTTCTGGCATAAAAAATGTCATGTTTCAAAGATAACACAGCAGTTCATAGCTTAACTTGTTGCCTGAAGTTGCTTTTTATTAACATAGTCTGTATACACAGATTTCGGTATGCCCTTAATATACCTGTATTTAAACCCGTCAGGTTAATTTGTCATCTGTTTTATTGTGGAGATTTCCCTTTACTTCCTGTCCAAAGACAGCTCTGGCTGTCCCTATATAAAGATTAGGGACACTCTGAGCTTCCTTTCAGTAACATACAATGTTTCTAGATCTTTAACCCTTTGTTAGGACAGGCCATGTTGAAAGAAGCGCTTCTTATTGGTCATCATTTGCAAGCATTATTCCATGTACAGAGTACCGGGCTGCAATGCTGTGTCCTGTACACCGGCTGCAGCAGGGGGGAACAGCAGCTCCCCCAAAGCTATGACTATGAGGGGGGGGAGCACATAATTTGCCGGTTGCGGTTGGGGGGGGGGGGGGAGCGGCTCCCCCAAAGGTTTGACTACTGGGGGGGGCAGAGGGGACCAATTTGTGGTGGTAATTTCAGTTGCCCACATTTGTTGGAAAACTGGAATTACCTTATAATGTTTGCACAAGGACCACACTAGCAGTTAATGTAATATTAGAGAGCTGTCTGCAAACCCACTTATTTCATCCGAACATACCAAACCAGAACTGTGAGGACATTTCGAAGTTCATTACTCCGGTCCTCAAACACAAAAGAAACTTGGCATTACTTTTCTATTAAAAACTGGAAAAAAATTAGGTTTTGGCTTTCGATACACTTTATTTTTAAACATTCATACATTCCAAAAACATGCTGGTAGTTATTCTCTTACAGTGGTATATATATATTATTTTTCCTTATAACAAGTTAGTCTCTTATTTATGTATGTTTACATATCTTCCATTGGTTTTAGGTCGCAAATCCAAATAAATTGGGTAAATTGAGATGGAGAGCAGTCAACTTTTAACATTTTTAAGCATTTGAAGCTTACACAGCATCCTGTTTTTTTCCAAGTAAACCTGTGCCCAGACTATGCACATTAAATTATGAACATATTCTGTGCACCATCACCCTTCATCCAATCAGAGAATGCCTAGAATTCATTGAGTGAAATACTAGGCAGCCTCTATACTCAGCGAGTGACTCTGTGTTTTAACAGCACAGGGAAGTCACTCAGTATAGCAGCTATAACAGGGACCCGGAAAATGCATGTGATATCATAGTATCCGTGTGTGTGTGTCTATACATATACACACACACATTGTGCCAAGCTAGAGTTCTGCCTTAAAGCCTTGAAATAAGCCAGACTGACCTTGGTAGCTATAGGCACTGTCAACAACAGAAGCACTGAAATGATAGCTTCTGTTTCCTTTAATTACTATTGTTGCCCAAATTACTTGTTTAAGGTACGATCAGCTATATAAGTGTTCACAACTACAAGTATATGGTTATGAGGATATATATAAGATAAATTATATACATATATATAAGTGCTGATAGAGTACCTTTATATTTATCCATTAATTGTCACATGAGGGCCCCATTCTGATGGTCTAAAAATGCTCATCTTTCCTCCAAAGTCTGAATTGATATAGTCCTGTTGTTCATAAGGAAGCATTGAGGGCCATCAATTAGTGGCCTCCCAATACTTAATCTAATCAATTTAGAATCCTTCTCTGGGGATTGGATATTTCCAAATGCTAACCCCTTTCTATGCGAATCTGTAATGATCTTACTGTACCCAGACTGAAGGGAAAATTACAAATGTGCAGGTGTTCATAGGCTAACCCTAGGTCATGCCTGCGTCTAAACAAAGGTGGACAATCTACCGTATATACTCGAGTATAAGCCGAGATTTTCAGCCCATTTTTTTGGGTGAAAAGTGTACCTAGAAGGATTCTTTGGAGCTCTTAGCTATAGACAAAAGAGAATATATACCTATTCTGAAGATAAATGCTCTAGGTTCAGAGCTGTCTGTGGATCCTTTTGTTTCTTGTCTCGACCATTTACAATGAAAAGGCTATGCCTGGGCAGATCTATAATCCCATTCAAGAATCATCTGTATGCAACTCCCCAACACAGTGACAACACACAACAAAGAAAATATTTAATCCCAAACTCCCGTCACTCAACGTGGAACACATTTAATTACAATACATATATGTGTGTATTCATGGAGATTTGACATTAACCTCACAATGTAACAACTATGGAGAGCAGATTCTAAACACTGTGTTGCCTATAGGTTTACTTTTTTAAAGGGTGTTGTAATTTAAATCTAATAGGCTTCTCAAGATTAGGTTTTGTGTTAAAAGCACAACTGCAGAATAATCTTCAGTTAATGTATTTACTAATGTATTTACACCAGTCCAGCAATAAAATTATCTTAATGTTGACAACTAGTTCTTACCATTACATCTGGGGAGTCTGTCATTCATGTCTATCAGGAACATGATGCCATGACATACCCCACCCCTGGACATCTGGCCTCTGCTGTTAAGTCTTCCAGTCTATTGGCCTAGCATTCTTTTTTATTGGGGGTTTTTGGGGGGTTGTTTGATTGCACCTAGCCTTTTGAGTTATCTGGTATGTGTTTCCTTTAACCTTTCTGGAAGTAAACCTTATTAGAAAGTTTTAGTTATACTAATTGATTCATAATTTTTCTTTCAGGGACGTAAAAGTGAAGCTGAACGTTACTTTTTAAAAGCAATACAGCTGGATCCCACCAAAGGAAACTGTTACATGCATTACGGTAAGTGATTGCAATACTTATACTTTCCAGCAACATTGAATGGCACAGGTTGTGCACCTTTTTAGAACTATGGTTTAAGGCTAAAGATAATGTAGCTATGCGTAAAGCATCAATTGCACTCATTCATGTACATTTTGTTCATGTACTGTGCCTAACATCATCTGCTGCTAATAACACGCGTGACACTAAATATAATATTCCTTAAAAATCCAAGCTTATGTAGAGTTAACAGTGTCACTTTCACAGTTTTGCTCTTAACATATACAACAAAGATTCCCCATTTTTTTTTTTATCTCTATAAACCTTTTGCTGCCACTTGCCTCTTTTTCTGTACAGGTAATATTTTGTGATTTAAAGTAATATTAAGCTCTCAATCTTTTTTCAATAATGAATTAAAGTCAAACAAATATACATTGTCCTGCAAATAATTTCTTTACGTTTTTGCCCAAACACTGACATCATGTTTCCAGGATGATTCCATGATGACTGGAAGTGCTTGGTCATAAATGTAAAGAAATATTTTGCTGGGCAATGTGTAATTGTTTGATCTGGATTCATTTTTGAAAAAAAAAACGTTGGAGAATTTTGTACTACTTTAAATATGTTTGTGAAATATACAGTGACAATGTTAGCAACACTTAATCCAGCAATCATTTTTATTTTACTGGTCACGTCTTTCTACACTTATGCTCACTACAGTACCCTACAGATGGAGTCCCCACTCACCTTTCCATTAGGTTCTGCTGTTAGGGCTGCAACTAACGATTATTTTCATAATCAGTTAGTTGGCCGTTTATTTTTCTGATGAATCGGATAAAAAAAATAACATCTTTCATTTTAAATTTAAAAAAAGAGTGTTACAAACTTAAATTATATATGACAGGTTCTCTTTAAAGTGACATTAGGGGTCTATGAGATCCCTAGGGTCACCTTTCTACTTCAAAAGGAGCTATTCAAGCACACATGTGTAAAACACATGTAAACACAGCAGACAGCGGGTGTGTGCAATAGCCAGCCTGCTATTGGCTATTGCAATTTGAAATGGCTATCAGCAGGCTGGCTATTGCACACACCCTCTGCCTCCAAGCTTCTCCGACCTGTCCAGCAGCGCCACACAGTCCTGACCTGCCCCCCTCCCTGGCACCCCTGCCTCAGACCAGCTTTCATGCGCTAGAGCCGCTCCAATGCCTGCTTCCTCTGCCGATACAGGCGAGGGAGAGCAGTGGGATCGGAGATGACACAGACGGCAGTGGGGAGGGGAGAGGCAACCCAGAGTCCAGGCGGTGGTGGCAGCAGTGACTGGGGGGGTGGGAAGCAAGAAGCAGCTAAGCAGAGTTGTGGCGGCCTGGGGGGAGGAGAAAATCTGCAGAGCATCGGCTGGGGGGGGGAAGGGTGGGAGAAGAAGCAGCTGACCAGAGTTGTGGTGGCCGGGGGCGAGCAGATGAGCCCTGGACAAAGTTGCCGCGGGCAGGCTGAATCAACTAATCGATAATGAGAATCGTTGACAACAATTGTTGTTTCTCATCAATTATTATCGATTTTATCTATTAGTTGTTGCAGCCCTATCTGCGGTAGTTGGTGTGTGCGTGTGTTTGTGCACGCGCGCGGGCGCTGTGACATTGCCTATCGTTTATTTCAGGTGTTCTGTCGCCAGTGTAGTGTGCTTGTTCTAAGGAATGACATAATATACTGTTTGAGGTCGGTAGGCATCCCCCGACTAATAGATAAATTGTCTGCTAGCTCAGTAATATTTTATTATCCGGAGCAGCAGAATTTATAGAACAGGTGCTTTGTTGTCTTTTTCAATCTTACTAGCCATGTAAATCAGAATAAAATCCAGCAATAAAACCAAATAAACACGCAGGTTGTAAATACATATGTAAATACTGCTATTTTAGTAATTTCAGAAAGTTTTCAATATCATAACTTTACAAAGAGATGCCAACTCTTTCCACTTTCTCTTTTTTTTATCCGTATATCATGGGTGAGCAGCTGCACGCCATTATAATAATTTACTATTGAAAATGCAAACTAGAAATTCTACTAATATAAGCCTTCTAAAAAAAACCCTGCAGTGCAAACAATCTTCTCACATCAGATGTTTGGGATATTTAATGCCTAAATTATCTTTAAATGGATGGGTGAGTTTTTGAAACTTTCATTTACTTTGATTAATTTGCTTGGATTAAATGAAAGATTGAGGCTTTCTTGGTTTTAAAAGACTACTGTCACTAAACTAGCTTTGCTTACCGTTCGATGGAGTGACATATCCTGGGATTGCTTTAAATTATGTCAGAAACTGATTTATGGTCGCCAACATCAAAGCAAAACTGTAACATGATCCACCAAATTCATACATGAGACCTCTTTACAGATGCCTTGCAATCTTTGTAGTTTGTTGCAGTGGCAATTACTTTTACAGAGTGGTTATTTCAACCTGCATGCATTTTGCAATGATTTGGAAAATAAATTGGCTCAATTTGTCCTCATTAGGGTAGCTAACTAAGTGGGGATTAATCTTTTGCAGTTTGACATTTCTCTAGCATGTTAACTGGCTCTGCTGCCTTTGAGACCCTTTCATTAATTAAAAAAGGTGTTTTCAATTTGAAGAATGTCTAAATATTAAGGGAGAATTGTTACAGGTCTGATTTGGCATTATTTATGCTTTCATATAAACTGTGCTGTGTCATGTGAAAGTTAAAGTGAATTGTCCTTTTCACTTTTAACACTGATTAAATGTAACTGATTGTCTGCATATATGTTATAGAGACCTTGGAGGGTACAAAAATACAAATACTGACTACAGTTGCTGAAGCCGTGTTTGCCCCTGCTGCCTCTCAATCCTTTCCCCACTGGTCCTTCAAAATGATAGACCGATTCACTGTCTATGATTTCATCATAAAGCAGTTGTGAGAATCTGAGGAAAGGTCACAAAGAACCTAGAAACCTGTATTCACTGTCAACAGCTAATCTAAATTAATCGACCTGTCAAATAATAGAAATGTCCCCTTATTCTGGTTTAGTTAGCCTTAAAAAACATCTGCTTCTTAAGTGCCCCTCCCCATTTCCAAAAAAGCACTATAAATGTTTAAAAAACCTATAGAGGGAGCAAAAGTTGGATGGTATTTTTACTTTTCCTCTAGCTTCCACCCACAAAAACTGGATGAGAGTGACATTATCCTTTTGGTAGGATCTAGGGATTGTAGAGTACTCCAAACCTCGCTAAAAAGATGCTCCTAGCACTGTGCTGCAGTGTCTTCTCGAGAGACTTGGAGTACTCTACATTCCCACACACCTCATCAGAGGGTTATGATGAAATGAGTAATCTAAAAAGTCTAAATTCCCTTGTTTGATCTTCATTGGTCTTGCACTACACTGTGAAACTGGGATTAGGAGCCCTGGGTCTGTATCTTAACCACTTGCTGACTGGGGTGTTAAGCCCCCTTCCCGTCCAGGCCATTTTTCAGTATTCAGCGCTGCAGTACTTTGACTGACATTTATTCCGTCATGCAACGCTGTACTGAAATTAATTTTATACCATTTTTTTGGGGACAGATAGAGCTTTCTTTTGGTGGTATTTAATCACCACTGGGGTTTTATTTTTTCTATATAATGAAAAAAGTTCAGAAAATGTTGGAAAAAAAACAGTTTTCCCTAAATTATGTTATGAAACATTATTTTTTAGTAAAACATAAAAGATGGGGTCACGTCAGGTAAATAGACACCAAACATGACTAGCTTTAAAATGGTGTGCACCCGCGAAATTGCAAAAAACTACAATGCCTAAAATTGGCCATAGGCAGCGCTTTAAAAGCTTTTAACGCTTATCAGTTAAGTGCTATCAGTGATTAATGACCCTAAAATTATTGCTCACACGCCCACGTTCGCAGCGATATGTAACATGTGTGTCGTTATCGTTGGTTTCGCACGTAGGCGCACCCAACGCATATTTACGTTTATATGTGCGTACATGCGGGGGACTTTTTTGTGGTGTTTTTTATTTTTAATATGAGACTTTAATATTTTTTTAAACTTTTTATTTGTTTTCACACTTCATTGCTATGACATAGGGGGATAACAAACCCCCTATGTGATAGCCAAAATACAATGACAAGTCCTCTATATGGAGACATCAGGGGTCTCTAAGACCCCTAATGTCACCTTGGCACCCCCCAAGAAGCTGATAAAGCAGTGATCTGCTTCACCAGCTATAGCAGCCAGAGAAATTACAGCTAAAGGCGGAAATTATGTAATACACATCGCTTCCGCCTTTATACAGAGAGGAGAGATCAGTGGTGGGGAAATGCTGATTTCTCCTCCGTTCCCACTGCTAGTAGCCGATGTGCCTGACCCGGGCCTGCAGGGGGACGGCGGAGCCTGAGATGACCGGCAGCGCCCTGGGGTGGGGGCCCACACTTTTTACTTTCATACCGTCCGAACGCTTGTATGTAACAGCTGGTACCAGCTGTTTACATTCCCAGCTGGATTCGCCCACGCAGAAAAAAAATGACGTACAGACACGTCCACCCGCTGGGAAGAGACCGCTGTCCGTCTGTGTTTCACAATGGTTGGACGGCAAGTGGTTAAAAATAAATAAAGTCAGTGACCATAATTCTACCCTCACAGGTTCCCTTTAAGTCTCAGTAGACCAGTGTCACTGACTGCTTTAGCTATTCAGTTTAAGGGGAAGTTTTTATTTTGTGTCAGATCCCTTATTTCAAATTAACTGTTGGCACTGAATAAGGGTTTTCAGGTTGTTAATTGTCTTCTGTTAACAGATTATCATGTTTTCTTTCTAGTAGAATGATTCCATACTTTTAAATATTTTTTTTATTTCAACACATTTGTAATACCTTACCTGTTGATTTCTAGACATCTTCACAGATAAGTTAAATATATGAGTATAAATCTATGCAATGCACATTGTTGTATTTTCTCAAATGAAAAATACATCTTGATGATATTTAATCCCCACTCCGGGAAAAAAAATCAAAATGAGCTGTACAATGTTGATGACGTACCTTTCTCAGCTGTGGTTCTTTGCAAACACATCTTCGAAATACATCGTGCAATATACTCTTTGAAACTCACAATTTCCTTCCTCCAACATCCTTATTTCCTGCCCAGGGGATCAGATAATTTTGCCTGTTTGTTCTCTTAGGTGGACCAATCCCCTCACTGCCCCCATTCTAATCCTAAACACACCAGTGTGAAGAGAGTGTGGGCAGTGTTATTGTAATGTTTTTTTTTATCTGCAGCCTGCTATGTCTCCCCTGAAACAAAATTATACAAGCAGTTCCTGTAGTGTAAAGGTTCATGATCCGTCTCATGTCTGTAATGGCAATAAGATCAAAACTGGACAACGTGATTTTTTTAGTTTGTTTGAGAATAAAAAATAAATTGTTGGTTTAGTGAATTTTTTTTGTGTGTGTATATGTGTGTATATATATATATATATACAATATATATATTTATCTAATTAATATATTACACAAGCAAAACTTTATATGGCAACAATAAACATTTACATTTATTTTTTTTAAATAAAGCTAAATGTTACTTAACCTTCCTGGCGGTAATCCCGAGTGTGGCTCAGGGTTCATTTTCAATACCAAAAGCGGTAAACCCGAGCCACGCTCGGGATTACACTGTAGCGTCACTGACCTTGTCCCTACGAGCCCCGCTCTGTCCTCTGGCTGATGCCGGCATCCGTTTTCCGGGGTCCTTCCCTGCGAGCGCCAGCGTCGCAGGAGGGCAGAACAGGCGGGAAATTCAAAAGTTAAAAATAGAAAAGAAAAAATACTGACATAATCAGACAGCCATGTAGGTTAATATGAGCTTTTGGGTAAGGCTCAATGTTTAAAACCTTATTGGACCACTTTGAATTCCTAACCTTCTGTTTAGTAGTAAGGAGCACAAGCTATTATGCCACAGGATCTATTGTTGGTGTCTTGGTAATTCAGATTTCTATAACATTTTAAGTTAGTAGCGTAGCACCAGAAAAAAAAAAAACCTTGCAGTGGGATCTCCCCACACTGCTAGGGTTAAATGTTCGGGTCTCCGCCCATGACTCCACTTCAAACTCTTTCTCCAACTCTGTCTGCAAAGAGGTGACTTAGGACAGGAATCATGGGACATGTAATCCAGAAAAAGGTCAGATGTTGCACAGCTGCACAGACCCTTCTCCTGACAGTCATATACCTGAGAAACTGCTGGTTACATGATCTTATTACAGGTAGTAATGTATAGCTTTTCTCATGTATGTAGCTGGTGTTTTAAATTGTATTACAGCATGTTTTTTGTATAGGCAGAGGTACTAAAAGAATACTAAGAGAATATAACCGTAATCTCAGTGTTGGACTTGAAACAACCTAGGGCTATTCTGGTGCTTATAGGAGAAATGGACACTAAGCACATAGAAAACTGGAGGCCAGCCCCCTCTTACCTCACACCTACTCAGTTTTGCTTAATAGCCTTAGGAGGATACATGTGTCTTTCTTTCTGTTATATTTTTCACTTGAATTGGAAGATTGTTTTCTACTACCAACAGCCAGTGGAAGATGTATGCTGGATAATGGACGTTCTGGAAGACTCTCCAGTTAGCCATCAAGTTTAGGTTTAGCAGAGTTCACTGTCAATCAGCCAGCTGGGCGGATCTCAACAGCATTGTCGGGATCCGTCCCGGCTGCAGCGCTCTCCGTATATAGCCGGCAGGAGCATATGTCCTCCCGGGACCCTAAAGAGAACTATAGGATAAAAAGGTTACCCCATAGTTCTCATTTAACAAATCCAGTCATGGTTTGTCTTTGAGGCTAAAGTGTATACTCGCTACAAATGTAGCAGAATGTGTCACGACTGTTTCGACACTAGTGAGATATTTCTGATGTAACCAACCATACTACAACAGTAAGTTTTTAACTGGATTAGGCCTAGTTGTTACATTGCAAGCTGCCCTTCCAGCAGCATACACTAAGACTAAGCATTCCCAGGCATGCCCGTCTTCTCCACAAACGTTGTGCAACCAGCCTGAACTTGTAAGAGCTACTCAAAGCATCATGAGACGCAGTTGAAAATTAGTCAATTTAAATTGTGAAAAGAAAATTCAAAAATAAAAGATTTTTAAAAAATGGTAGGTGATAGGTTAAATTACACTTTATTTTTGTGAATAGCAGCCCAAAATCTATAAGATGCACACAGAAGTGTTCAAGAAGCAAAATCTTTGTTGTCCAGTGTTTTAAATTAAATATAAACCATTTTTAACAATTTCCTTGTCAGTGTGTAAAATACCTTTAAATCTTTGTTCCTGCCGGGAATGTGTGAATCAGCCATTTTCACACACACTGGCCACGAAACTACACTTTCCATGAGCACTGGCATTAGAGTAATAAGCAAAGTTTACCGTGTCAATTTAGGTTACATCACCATGTAGCCCAGTCATGGACTTTACACACAGGGCTAACAATCCTGCTTACAATTTCGAATACAGAAGTGTCAACATTGTCAACTCATGGAGGAAAGCTAGAAATAGCCTGTAACACTGTCAGGCTCACTAAGTATCTTGTACTACTAATAATGGTCTGACAGAGAAATAACAGGGAACAATGTGCATGGGTGGACAAGTTCTGTTATATAGAGAGGTTTAATGTTTAACAACCCATACACTTTATGATCTGTAGATTGCATTTATCTTTGAAATGATTCCAGAATCTATTTCCTGATACAGATATTGTTTTTAATGCAATGTTATGTATTTCATTACATACGTTTGGCATTGTAGGACAATTTCTACTGGAAGAAGGGCGTGTCCTGGAAGCTGCAGAAATGGCAAAGAAGGCTGCAGAATTGGAGAGTTCTGAATTTGATGTAGTATTCAATGCAGCTCACATGCTCAGGTGAGTTCAGTCTTTGTATTTCTCTTTTTTAGTTTGTGTTTCCAACTGTGTTATTTTCCCTCCACTTTATATACTTTATATACAGTGCATTCAGAAAGTATTAAGACCCCCTTCACTTTTTCAATTTTGTTATGTTGCAGCCTTATACTACAGTTGTTTATATTCTTTTTTTCTCATGAATCTACACTCAGTACCCCATAATGACAAAGTGAAAACAGAATTGTAGAAATGTCTCTGAATTTATTAAAAAGAAAAAAAAACTGTAATATCACATGTACACAAGTATTCAGACTCTGTTGAAGCACCTTTGGTAGCAATTGCAAACTTGAGTCTTTTTGAGTATGACGCGACAAGCTTTGCACACCTGGATTAGAGGATTTTCTGCCATTCTTTGCAAATCCTCTTAAGCTTAGCTTGGATGGGGACCGTTGGTGGACAGTCATTTCCAGGTCTCTCCAGGGTTCAAGTCGGGGCTCGGGCTGTGCCACTCTAGGACATTCACAGAGTTGTCCCACGGCCACTCCTGTGTTGTCTAGGCTGTGTGCTTAGGATCATTATGTTGGAAGGTGAACCTTCAGCCCAGTCTGATGTTTTGAGCGCTGTGGAACAGGTTTTCATTGAGGATTTCTCCGTACTTTGCTCCTTTCAGCTTTACCTCAACCTTGACCAGTCTCATAGTCCCCGCTGCAGAAAAAAAAACACTCCCACAGCATGATGCTGCCACCACCATGTTTCACTGTTGTGATGGTATTGGGCAGGTGATGAGAGGTGCCTGGTTTCCTCCAGACATAGCATTTAGAATTGAAGATCTGAATACTTATGCCATTGTGATATTTCAGTTTTCCCTTTTTCATACATTTGCCAACATTTCTTAAACTTTGTTTTCACTTTGTCATTATGGGGAACTGACAATCTAAAAACCTTGATAAAAAAAATAAAGGCTTGAGACCAGTATTGAGTTCCATGCCTTTACATACCAATTAACAAGAAGATGAACATCATTTCCTGCATCCATCAGAAGTATTGACTTAAATATAACAATGTGCACTCATACTTCAGGATAACGAAAGCTAATTTGCAATGGTTGGTGTATATGTCGGTGTATATATTGTCAACATGTAAGATGTGTATGCAGATACCGAAGAGACCACTTGTATATGACTAAACCAAACAAATGTCTGCTTGTTTTGCACTATTATGAGCTACACACCCTGTAGAAACCCTAAAGACAATCTCAGTTCGACTTGTATATAAGCTGACCACTCTTTTTCCAGATATAAGTGCTATATGTTTCTCTGTTACATGTTCTATAGCTATTCTCATTATCTAATCTCCCATTCAGATGTGCAAACCTTCTTAATTGCTTATAGAGATAATATTTCTGTTCTTAGATCATTCCATAAATGTCTCTGTAATTTTATATTGGCATTATGAAGCAGAACTGCTTCTATATATTATATATTTTCATACACAATACAAAAAGTACACCTTCGCAATGCTTATGTTTACCTTACCTTCCCATACAACTAGGGTTTTATTCATTTAGCCAACATGGAACTTTGAAGAGACCCGCTTGATTTGTGAAAGTAGGCTTTCTAAGACAGCTGGCAGACACCCAGAGGTGCACATAACCTGCAGCAGCTTTCATTAGTTCTTCCTTCACCCGGACCCTAGTTCATTTTAACAGACAACCACTTGATACCTGTCAGAAGCTTTTTGTTTTCTTATGGTAACAGAGTCTCTTTAATCTAACATTATGTCTTCTGTTTGCTGATATCTCTATATAAAGGATCAACTTGTTAGGGTCATCACTTCGGTTGAGCTTTCTTTACTCTTTGTTACCTTTCACCCTTGTAAGGCTATATAATCGTTATCCTTGCATTATGCATACTGTGATTTACACAAATGCTTAAAATAGTTATTTTTCTAATTAAAAGATTTGACTGCAGAAATACACCTACCCTTGAAAAGCCATGATGTAATAAAAATTTCATTAAGCCTCTCATTAGAGGAAGTGAAATGTTTAGCTCTGTGCCTTTTGCAATGTCACATGAAGTTGGTATCACATGAGAGGGATTGTAAGACAAGTTTTTCAGCTGAAGGAAAATTATTTTGCCATTTAAAGTGACTTTGACTATTTTAAAACTCATGTCCAAAGGCAACCTTGCAAAGAAAAATGTTAATAGTTACCCCTCCCTCACTGCCAGACTCTATTGTCTTAAGGAGCTACACTAGCTAAAACATCTTCAGCATCTTGCACAAACTGGTTAACCATTGTGCTTTGCAGTTCCTTCCCGTGGCCCCTAGATTAGTACTGGCCTGTAGCAATGTAGGTGCTTGACAAAATGACTACAGTGTACAAAGGAGCACCAGGCATCCAACATCTACAAAAATGATGGATGCTGAATATTTTTTTCCCCAACATAGCTCATGGAGACAGCTAAGCTCAGTGGAGCGTGAGGGTTACGTTTTATCTCTTTTCTTTGTACATATGCCTTGGATATTTTTAGTATTATAAACACATCTGTGCTTAAAGTGTATTTCCACTTTTGCAGTCAAATTTGAGAAAACCCCTTTATATGTTTATTGTGTGTTCACTATATACACAGAAACACCTTTTTTGAGCACCTTCACAGTGATCTGTCCTAATAGAAAGGTTAGGACTGAAATTTGAGGAATGTGTTTCTCTCATCATTAACTTTAATAACATACAGTGAAGCAGCCAGGGTTTTAATCTTTTAGCTCTTTGTTAGGACAGGCAGTGTTTAAATCTCCTTTACAAATTATAATGAACAAACCCCTCTTAACATTACAGAGGAGAAGCAAGTAGACATTTTAACCCTTAAAAAGGACAAGAAAACCTAACCCAAGTAAAAAACAATTTAAACTTCAAGAATCCTTTTTGTTTATTTTTACTTTTTTAAGCTAATGCGATGTGAATGGGAACATGTAACAAATATAAAATAGGTGTTATCCCAACTGGGCTGCGAAAGTGGAAATACACCTTAACTTCTGAATTTGCTGCTTAGAAGGTTTGATCTAACTGTTGTCAACAAAAACCAATTGAAGACATTGTCAGGCATTGGAAAAGGGAATGAGCCTTTTACTGCAGTTAGATAACAGGAAAAAATGGTTGGAGGAAAAAGTTTTCATGGGTTAAGGTGCAAGGTCATCTTTTCATTGACAGGCAGATCTGTCATCTCACACTGGCATAAATGGATTTGTCCTATTTGTCCTTGCATAACCATCCTAACACTAATGTGTTAAAAGCCTGAAAGTGTTGCTGAGATAGTGAATGTTGTCCTTGTGTGGACGCTTTTAAGTGCCCTAAATCTAAAAGATATAAAAACTGCTGCATGCAAAATCATTTTGCTAAGTGTTAGAATGCACACTGTGTTGTCATGGAGAGCCATTTAATGAAATGGTACTAATGTGGCACTAGTAACCTGTTATATGAGCCAAGGACTCATAGACGTTAAGCTTAAGGGTAACGTTAAATGTAGTTTATTGTTTTTTTTAATTCTAGTGAAAGTTTTGCCCAAAAGCTTTACATGCCATGGTTTGCACAAAATGCCAACTCACATGGTATTTTTATTTATTGTTTGTCTTCAAGAAGCATTTTTGGTTCTGCCACTAAGATACTAAAATGAACCCTTGTGCCACTTTGGCTTTGCCTCCCATTTTGCAACTATGGTGGCTGAGCCAATTTTATTCTTTCTATGCTTTTCTGCGTAACATGATAGTTGTGCTAATGTTTGTCAAAAACATGCTTTTCCAAAAAAAAATACACTCATATCATTATTAGTGGAAACAAGTAAAAATCTCCAAAATACAGGCTAGACTGCAGGTTGTCATGGATGGCCAAAAAATTCTTGGTTGGGACGGTAAAAAGATGCTTTCTAAATTTTTTAGTTTTATTCATTGTAAGCAACTAATGCCACTCCCATCTATTGTATTTTGGGTGCTGGATGTAAGAATACAATAGACAGCAGGGGAGATTCCTCCATCCATGCTGTTTTCGTGAATGGGGGCATCAGGTGGGTTGTTTATTATCATTCAGACAGTAGGGCTGAATGAGAGAAAACACTGAGTGTATGGCCAGCTTTTGTCTCCCTGGACATAATGACATTATGCCTCCTTTCCCAATGAGCTGGAGTGAGCCCTGGGTGCTGGCCTCAGTTATGCAGCCCAGCCTAACAGTAGTATAGGAGGAACTATTGTACTCCAGTGAATAAAGTATTTAGGATCTTTTATTAAAGTATCTGTCACTTTGCCTATTCAAGGCAAACCTGATATTCGTCTTCTGTGTACTCCAATGCTAATTTGTTACTCCACCGGAGCCTAAAACTGTTTTTTTTCGAAGGAAAAGTGTGACTCGCTCCCAGCTTGCAGTGCTTGAGCTCGAGCAGCCAATTTCCATGCTTTGTACACATGGAGTTTTGGCCGATTCAGCAGAAATCGGCTGAAATTCGATCCGTGGGTGCCCTTATCTCCTTGTATGAAGTCAATCATTAGATTGACTTATGTCAAAGGGACATGTTCGAAAATCATTGGCTGAACAGTACTTTCAGGCACTGCTTGGGTATTCTGACCATGGAGCCGGCTGTCAGGCACACAGTGGGAGATTCGTTCATCGACACTGTTAGCGTGGATGGAGAAATCTGTCATAGTTTTATACAAAAAATGATCGTGTGTACTGAGCTTTAGATTCGCTAACCGAATTATTTTACATGGGGCATAGATCATATTGCTTCGAATATTTCTACATTCCCACCATGGAAGTTTTTTTGTGTGCAGTTCATCCAAGGCCATAAAGATGTGCCGTGGAACTGGCGTCAGTGTTATAGCATGCTTTGTTTATGTTTCAGTGTCAGAGTAGGTGCATTTCAGAAATTGTAGGTTAGAAGATCCAGTACTTTAAGCCCTCATTCACACCTGAGTGACAGTGTTTTGTTTTTGACCATTTTTTACGCACATTTTCCATACATAGTTGTGCGTGTTTTTTGCAAGCATATGTGGCACATTGATATGTAAATGTACAAACGTGCTCTGTACAGGCGCAATAACGCAGCAAATTCTAAGGGGCCAAGAAGTGCAGAATCTGCCCAAAAGAAGCTCATGTCCTTTCTTCGAGCGACGGGCATTTTGCTACAAGCGACAAAACACTCAGATGTGAACATGGCCATACAAATGAATGGGGTTTTTTGGGGATTTTTTTTAGCAGAAAAAGCGCTATAAAACGCTTAATGTGAATGAGGGCCTATACATAACGAGCTTTAGCTACTCAGGCATAGAACACACTATATAGGGGCTACAAACAAGGGAAACAATTAAAATCTCTTTAAAAGTTCACATGTTCAATTTTCATATATTTTAATAATCTATTCTAGTACAAAGCATTAGAATAGTCTATATACCTGTTAATGTGGAATTTACAGATAGGCTGATCATTTATTAGAACAGATATAGTGCATGTTATCTACACTGCCCACATAACCAAGTTTCCATAGAAGTAAAACTATTTTTAAATGTTAGGTATCTGTAACAGATTTATCTTGTATAATCCTTCCAATTACATATCGCTTCCTGCTTACTGTCCAATAAAACAGACATTTCTTGGTTTATGATTAGATCAATCTGCATAGGTCAATGGGATCCTGAATCCCTTTCTCTAAGATAAAGCCTTAAAGAAGAGCAAGATTTTGACAAATGGCAGACCTTGTACTCAATGTTAAAACAATGCATCATTCCTTGCCCGTCAAATATGTTTGCAGAATGGTTGAGTCATTATTTTTTGTTAGAAATGTATGGAAATGTGTCATCCATTGTCTGATTTAATGCTCTAAAAGCTTCAGTCACGCTGGAGAATTGTTTGTGTATCATATGTATTTTCTGCAAAGTTTGCAAGTATTTCTGATTTCCAAAGACCTGCACTGACACTGATTACTTTACTTGGGGAATGTCTGTCCCTGGAATTGTATATGGGTTTTAAGCACTGACCCACTTAGACTAAAAAACATTTTTCTAAACATTAGAATTTTAGAATTTTTTTCAGTGAAGGTGTTTTTAAAGGGTCAGCCAACTCAGGAAAAATATGTCAGTTGCAACTGAAGTGTGGCAGGTAGAGTGGCCTGTTAGCTTATTATATCTCTTGAGGATTGCAGAGGCGAGTCATCTTTGACAAAGTTCCTGACTTCGAGATTTAAATGTTTCTGGACACCTAGGTGACACCCAAAGAAATCCATCAATTCATCGTTGAGCACTCAGTATTCACAAAGACAATATATCAGACTGCAGCATTATTTGGAGATGTAAAAACAATGTAAATAGAAAAATTAAAAAAGGAGGGGCCTAGTCCCCATCAATGCAATATTCAAATAAATTGAACAATATAATTTCCTATATCATAAAATAATATAATCAACAATATAGAAAAGTAGCAATTTATTTATTAAACAAAATGAAGAAATTCCACAAATCACATAGATATCAAAACTAACCATATACCCCCTTTAAAAACCATAAAAATCCCATAGAAAATGGACAAGAAAGAAAAGGGTTGTGCAACATATCAAAATGACATAGGTAGATATGGATATATTTTAGTATTTCGTAGATGAATGGCAATGCCAGTGGGCAATGGTATCAGGTATATAAAAATAAATTGCAGCAAATGTGAGTATATCCCAATCCTCACAGGTAGTCTATCATGGGGGAGCTCCAAAGGTGTCCATATGAAATTGTATAACGCTCTTTATGTGTCAACAAAGTAAGGATGACTGTATGGAACATGGACCTCACATCTGTACCATGCTGTATTGGATGTAAAGCAGTATGTCCTGGGGGATGGATCCACCACGTCCCCTGTTGTACCTCTCTGTACAGCTACCAATGGTATATAGCTGAGAGTATCCAAAACATTTTAGAAGCCATGGGCAGGCACAACCCACCAGACACATACTACAAGTAAAATATCGCTTTTGGGTTGACTGACCATTTACCAAGCCTATCCCAATTGGATAAATGGTGTTCTGTAGCCCCATAAAAATATATACTGCTTTATGAATGGAATTGCACCATCTTAGAAGCTGATAACCCTCAAAAATGTTTGATAATGTTGGTAGCTATGAATCTGGGCCAGGTATAAATTATCTACAAGATCTAGTACGTAACTGTAAAACCTACTATGGCTGCATTTAAAAAAATAGAATATGTAAAACCCATTATTCCATTTTGTGTATTGCTTGGCAGATCAGATTTCCATAAGCAGACTGCAAATGAGACACAGCTTACCCTAATAGCTGTGGAATTAATATTCCCACTTTTATTTTGACATGGATTCTGTAACAATTTTCCCTTAGAGGGGGAATCTAATGTACAAGCTGCCTTAAACATGAGTTAAAAAATAAAGGAAAAAGCTGGACTTCATATTTCATCTTGCTATTTTGTTATCTGGGCAACATGAAAATAATGCATTAACCATCTCTGAGAGAATTATTTCCGTTGCTGGAATATTTAACCTTTTTCTTCTAACGTTCCATGACAAAAGACAGTTATTTAAGTTTGCTGTAAATTGCATTAGGTTATAAAAGAGTAAGTGAGAGAATGGATCTTGAATAGAGAACTATAGAAAGAATCGCACTAAATTATGTTAAGGTGTTGGCAAGGGAAGTAGATTTAATTTTTTTTCATTTGTTATTTATGAGGAGATTAAAATAAATTGAGGTGGGCACCATATGTGTCTCTTGCCTATAAGAAGTAATGGTGTTAATAAAACTATAGAAGTCATTTACAATGCCTGTTACCAATTTATCTTATGTAGACCACACCGCTCTGAGGTTTTTTTTTTCCTTTTTTAGAAAGCTTGTGCATGATTTTCTTATTATATCACAAAAAGTTAAAAAAAAAGGCACTGTTTTGTTTTTCTTTGTCATCTGATGATGAGTTATCTACAAACCTGTCTGTTTGAAAAATTACTTTACTGGTTGGATTCTGCTTTGCCCAAAAAATTGGGGTAAAAAAGTTGCATTGGGGTTGGGTGAAAGTAAGACGCTTATCTTCCTTCAAAACCAAGAGCTGCATAATGCCGTTGTTTTTATACTGCAAATAATAATATTTTTTTAGTTTAGGATATGTTATGTATATTGTTTTCTCATTATACTAAGCATTCCTTTTTTTGGGCTTTAAAATTTAACTATTCATAAAATGTCATGACTTGTATTTCCTTTTAAGTTGAAGCAATAAGGAATACAAATTAGCTTTGGAATGGTTTTCTTTTATTATAACAAATCATTGGTAACTTTAGGATCACAAATAGAAGACCTGAGTATTATTTTTCAGCATTTGTTGGAATACAGCTTGGATGAAATGAGCTGTGGAGCATTCCCTGTGGAGCTTTTATCTGTTGCTTTGTATACACAGAACTATATTTAATACTGCTGTAAGACACTTCTGAAGACTTTTCCTAGTAAGTGGCTATGTACATGTGGCCCACAGCATTTTTTGGGGGGGCGGGGGGGGGGGCGTTATCTGGATCGACGCAGTGAATGTCTATACTTCTAGTTTTCTAGCCTTTTGTTACTTTGATGACAAGTGTCTTATCCCAGAATGATCTATTCTCTGCTCTTCATTTTTCTAGAAAACTAATAAATAAACCAAGTAAGTAACAAGTAGGGCACATACCACACAACCACTGGCAACAACCCACTGGCAACAGGATCACTAGGGAGTGCAACAAAACCCTCACTCATATGTTTCTACAACATCACTCTCTCGCTGACCAGAACAGCAAGGTGTTGCATCCTACAGAATCTCCCTTACCAGTGAAAGAGTGACAGCATGTTCTATCTAGCAAGGGAGTGACAGTAGAAACAGATGCACATTTTGATTTACCAGTGATCCTGTCACTGGTTTGCTAGTTTAACATGGGCTTTAATGTGCTAGCCACACAGTAGCTAATTATTGAGCATATTGAGTGGAGATTGGTCAATATTTGTTTAATAACAGGCCATGTGTTAAACAGAATAATAGCAGACTAATTCTGATGTCAAACGCGTGGGACAGAAAATACAGTTGTACCAACATTTTATAAATCTGTCAGTTTTAGCTGTACACTGTAGTCTATGTTGAGCTCTTATTATGCATTAATAAATTATCTTTGCCTTTTTAATTGTAGGCAAGCTAGTCTGAATGAAGCAGCGGAATCCTACTACAAAGTGGCAGCAGAACTGAGGCCCAATGTAAGTGTGTTGGATATTATTATTTAAAAAGTATAATGTTCATGTATAAACCTATACTTAACAGAATTCATTCTTCAACCTGTAACTGCACTAGCTGGTCACATAGAGAGGAATTTAAGTCTAGAACAGCTGTGCATGACAACCAATCAGCTCCCAGCTTAAATTTTTAAAGCCTAACTGAACAAACTGAAGCCTGATTGGTTACTATACACTGCTGCTCCAGATTCTGTCTGCTCTTGCTTTAGTAAATCCCCACTAGACTTTAACTGACAGATATATGAACATGTCTGCTTAGAATTTGAAAAATGCAGCTTTCCTAAACAGTCTGGCCCCAGAAATGAACTGTCTGAGGCTTACTTTGCAGCATGCCGGCTCCTACACATCACACTCGCCTTGCAGGCGCTGTGGGGCGTAAGGGATGTGACTCGAATACAACGTATTCTGTGATTGGAGGAGGCGAGACAATGTTGCATACTCGTCTCCAACTCTCCCCTTCCAATCAAAGAATGGCTTGTATTCTTTGGAAAAGGCATTCTGTGAATGGAAAAGTAGCGAACAGAGTTGGGGATGCAACTGGAGCATTTCACTGCACGAGTCGCATCCCTCACACCCCACGGTGCCTTGAAGCCGAGTGTGATGTGTAGGAGCTGCAAAGTTAACTGTTTATACATTGCAGCAGCCCTCCACACATAACATACAGCTCTTTGTTCATAGTTTCACAGCCAGGGTGGTGTGTAAATTATCATTTGAGAAGGAGCATGCTCATAGGAGTAGAATGCAAAATGACAGAGAGATAAGCTTATCATTAGTTTGCATCTCCTAAACTCTCCAGTTACAGGCTAAGGATGGCTTCATGACAGCCTGGGCTCATAGGAAGTGGGTTAAATGATGCACACCATCATTTAAAGGAGAACTATGAGGTGAGTGCTTTTCACTCACCTCATAGTTCTAGCCGACCTGTGACAATGAGACTGTCACAGGTCGGCTCAGTAGATCGGGAGGTGAGCGAACACATACCGGCGTTCGCTCACCTCTCGATCCTGTCACGGCTCTCTGCCGTGACAGGGTAGGGGCTGGATTCCCCCCTCCCCGCTCCGATCCGCCAGCGCTGACTGGCAGCACGGACAGGGGAGGGGGCGGGTACAGCTCGCTCTGCCTCTAGATAGGCAGAGCCAGCTGTCAGTCACGCAGCTGGGCGGATCCCGGCACAATTGTCGGGATCCGCTTCAGCTGCGGCGTCTCAGTATACCGTGAGCAGCTGCTCGCGGTATACTGCGGCGTCTCAGTATACCGCGAGCTATAGCTCGCAGTATACTGAGCCTAGGGTGACGGGAGGACGCTAGTTTGTGTCCTCCTGTTACCCTAAGGAGAACTATGGGGGAAAGACTTAACCCCATAGTTCTCCTTTAATTTAGAAGGTTAAGGACATCTACTGGAGTTCTGCTTTAAACTTTGCAGTTCAGTTTTGATTTGGTTCCTTTTATTAATCTTGTACCTGGGTGACTGAGGCCTCCTCACACACAGTCAGTCAGGTGGCTGACACCATGCTTTCTTACAGCACAGCAAGATTATTGAAAGAGCAGCTTGACAGGAACAATTCACAATGCTGGATAGATATACTGTAATTTAGCTGCACAGAATGTTATACTTTCAAAGCCTTTACTCAAATGACTCCACCCTAAATTAAAATAAGGAATTATAAACAACACTGTTCTACTCTTCTTCTCTAATCACTTTGTTTGAAATACTTTGATTTTAGGCCATTTCTCCTGATTAACTCTTTTTGTACAAATCTCACCCCCTCTACTAAAAGTAAATTTTTCTTGGACAAACTTTCTGCTTTTAGCTTCTTGTAAATCTGCTCTAAGCAAAAATGATGTTGGGTTTATATTACTTTTGGGGTTTTTCTGTAACTTCCTGTGTGGTAATTGAGACTGCAAGTGAGTAAAGTGTATTCAATAGGCTGAACAAGAAGTTAAAAAAGTTAAAAAGAAAATGTAGAGGGAGGAACGTTGGGAATCTATTTAAGGCTTTTATTGATGTCAATGTCTTTGTTGAAGAGATCTAATTTCCTGTTTGGTCACCAGATGAAAAACATTTCCCCAACAAGGATTAAAGATAACTTTTCCTCACTTTAACCAATAAATACATGTTTTAGCTGGAGTTGAACTTTAAATTATTGGAGTTGAACTTTAAATTATTCACTCGGGTTGCAGAAGGAGAAACACAAATTAAGTGGAGGAATGTCCTGAAATTGCTAGACAGATGCTCAACTGAGAGTCAGAGTAGCTGTTGCATGAGAAGTAGCATGAAGGTAGCATGTTTGCTGTTAAAAAAAAACAGTAAAATAAATCAGTAAGTGTTTTGAAAGGGGAAAGGTGCTCCTTAAGAATAACTTTAAATGACACATACTTTATCTTCCAGTACTGTACATATTTGAATAGGTTTACTGTATATTTACTTGTATGAGATTGTTTTGGGGGATTTTTTTTACACAAAATGTCTTTGTCGTCTTATACCTGGCTTTATTTTTATATTTGCTTTCAAATGCAACTATTCATAAAATGTCTTTCTGTCTTTTACTTATTGTTAATTTAAAGCATTAAGGAATATAAATTAGCTTTGAAATAGGTTTCTTGTATTATAACAAATCATTGGTAAGGTTAGGATCACAAAAAACAGACCTGAGTATCATTTTTCAGCATTTGTTGGAATACAGCTTGGATGAAATGAGCTGTGGAGCATTCCCTATGGAGCTTTTATCTGTTGCTTTGTATACACAGAACTCTATTTAATACTCCTAAAGGACACTTCTGATGACCTTTGCTAGGAAGTGTCTGAGTATATGTGGATCACAGCGTTTTCAGCTCTGGGATAATTTACTTACCATGATAAAGTGGTGTTATCAGACAGATCTTACTATTGACGATCAAATATTGTGTGTGTCCCCCCATTTAAGAGGTTCCCCAGTAGAAACCATGGAGCAGAGAGTGATGGGAGATCCTGAATTTTCATGTCACCAGAGCAGGTGGTAAGGGGACATTTTCTAATTGGATCTCTTGTTCTAGTAACATCTAAAGGGATTTCCCCTTACATTATGTTATGTCTCTGGAACAGGAAGTGAAGGGATACCTCACTGGAGGCAAAAAAAACGCAGAAAGGAAACCTTCTAACCCTTTCCTACTCCAAAACTAAACTTTAAAATGTGTTCTGATACATTGCCTTATCTGGTACAGGTTTCGAAGAAGCCTCTCATATAAAATAGACAAACTATCTTAACTGAAACGTCTTAAAGCACCACACCCTGCAACCACACGTGTGGTGGACCTGTTAAAGCATGTCACTTTTTTGAGTGAAATGCTTTTTGTACATTAAATGTTATGTATTTAACAGCCCCTTAAATAGTTTAAATAGAATATTCTCCATTCTTCTTTTTCTACTTGTGGCATAGCAGCAAAACTCTTACTGAATTATTGGCTTTTGGGGACCTACACTGGGACTCTGTTTGCATAATACTTGTCTTTTGCCCTTTCTCTGTACATATTGAAGCATCACAATCATGCTGACAGTCTTGATTTCTTTTTTGTGAGATGTTTTATGTAGTAGTGTTAAATCTCTTTATGATTATGTAGATATTCTGTATATTTATTTCATTTTAAGAAGTTACCGCAAATAATGTTGTTTTTCACGTTTTACAACTTCTGAACCCCTTTTTTTATGAGGTTTATATTAAAGAAAGCAATTCCTTTAACTTTAAGGCAAAGTATGTTTTATTGTTTATGCATTTTGCATTATAATCTACCATCTGTTTGTCTTTTTATAGCATTCTAATATAGTTTGAGGTGTGACATATGTCTGTACCTCCTGATGAAAAACTGTAAATGGATAATCTTTGATTGAAATCACTTTTAAGTATCTCTCACATCTGGGATTCTTTGAAGTCTAGCCTCAAGCATATTAAAAGAAAGCTTAGAAAATCCACCAGACTCGGGCCTCCATCTTGAGCCAGTTGGTACTCACATGTCTACATCTAAAGTAAATAGTGCTACCTGCAAGGCCCGTCTGACCTAGTCTTAACACTGCTTACATGTTATAGCATATGATTTCCATCCACATCACATTGTTCTTTAAATATTTTCCATGATGTAATGTCAAAAGGTTGTATTCCTATATGGCAATAGAAAATGTTAACATCATAGTGGATTTAATCCATATTTTGAGTCCTATTGCCCGAGAATAGAACTAAACACTGTCCTGGGAAAGCTAAGGATCCCAAAACTCATTTGATAAAAGAGCCTAATCACAACTGTAGATAATGCATTCATAAAGATTTATGATAATCTACATGACCAGGACTCTACAGTTTAGGCTCACTAAAGTAAACCTTGCATTAAAATGCAAGGTCTGGTAATCCTTCAGCCCCTCATGTAAACATGCTTAGTAAAGGCAATAAAAAAATAAGGTACTAAGAAAATGTAGAAAAAAATATATTCTCTCTATATCTTGTTGCTACCTGTAAGCATGGGTAACATCACTGGGCTTCATTGTGGTATCAGTGAGGATCCTAAATCCTATGAGAAGACCCTCCTGCCCTGTGAAGAAGCACATTCTTGCAGGTTTTATTGTCCGCAGCTTTTTCAGAATCGTGCTAAGGTGAGCACTCTGGAAGCTGGGTATAAGGTAGAAAATGTTTTAACATTTTATTACAATGTTTTAGTGTTTTATTACTTTGAGTTTTGAAATTGGGATAGGGAAGGGGGAAGCAAGATAAGTGGTCCTTGCATTTAGTCTTATTGCGTAGCCTCCTTTATATTTATTATCAAATATATAATATGTGCGCTTACCTGATTGGATATAAATTGCATTGGTCTAATATATGTGGCCACCTTTAGAGATCACATATTAGTAAATTAATGTTGTGGGGCTAATATTTTACAAGATAATCTCATTCATCTTGTTTCAGCCCATTTTTTTATCATTTTGTTTACAATATAGACCAC